GGGGGGGCGGAGAAAAAGAACAGCAGAACAGCCTCCCACCCAACACACTGTGCGTGTGCGCACGTGGACCCGTGTGTGCGTGCGCACGCGCCCAACCCAGCCACAGCGGGAGCAGATCTGAAAACGTCCTCCCGATTTCCCCATTTCATCAGAGCCCCTAAGGCCCTTGTTTGCTCTGAGGAGACTCAAATACAAATGATCGTGATGAGATTGGTAGACGCTGATAGCCAGCCCCCTTCAGATTTATGAGTGCATTCAAGTACCTCGTCGCCATTCTCTTCTCCTCCAAATATCAAGGCAAGGAGAGGCAAGACCATTTGGGGTGAGGTTCCTATATTGGGATGCCTTTTTATCAAGCAAAGTTTCCATTCTCCTCTCCTGAAGAACACTCAGCACAGCAGCTCCCACAATAGCTTCAGAGTTCCAGCCAGAGACTTTGGAAGCCTTTTGTTTTTTCCCTGTGGCATGTCCAAAGGCACGGCCTTCCCTCCCCCCTCCCAGCAGCCTGCATTGTCTTGCATTCCAGGGACTTGATTGACTGTTGCCACCTGATGCTGAGGAGACACTCTGGAGTTCATTCTGCAGATTGTTAGGTTCTATTAAAAGAAACCTAGATAAGGGATTACTTGTCACTAAGGGATTTTCTGCAGATGTTTATTAGTGATTGGAAATCCATTAGGTGTGAAGAAGTACAGAAGAATATGAGCAACATCATTCACGTAAGCCCAAATTCTAAGGCAGCCCCCCCAAATCAGAAAGGGCCCCCTTTTAGTCTGTTAAATGGAGTTGGGGAAAGTTTTAAAGCAGAAAGTGGTAAGGGTCTCTTTTCTCATGGGTGATATTTCTACCTGTGGATGGAACTCCTTGGCACTCTCTCAGAAGATCAGTTGCTACCCATCAGTTTACCTCTCTGGAGCCACCAGAAAAGATTAATTGCTCTAGCATTAGAGGATCTCATTATCAATTGCTTTAAACTAGCCCAATCTGTTGTATGAGTATTGCCTCAAAGTAAGCCCTAAATTAGCAAACCATTTCATTTGTTCAAAAAGAATTCATCCCTTCTCAAACATAAACCAATATCCTAAGTCTCCTCCTGGGAATCCTTTGTACCATTCACATTTATTTTGAAGTTCCTAGCTCTTCTGTGGTTTTTCTCAGCCACAGATCCACAGCTTGTCGAGGTTTTGATGCCCCATATAAATAGAAATTACTGAAAATGCATTAAAAGAGAGCCAGCATGGTTTAACGATAAGACACCTGGACATGTTATTTCACATGAGTCTCTTGTTCTCATAATTTATTCATCTTGTAGAGTCTCATAGTTTCTTCATCTACAAAATGACTTTTGAGGTCTATTCCAACTCTTTAAATGCTAGCTTTTAGCATTATTGAAAAAGAATTTTTTTTCTTGTTTAAGTATCGAGGGAGAAGTTACATGTGACTCCAGAGCAGTGTGGAGTAAAGCAGAAGGCAGGCTCTCGTTATGAAAAACTATGCAAAAGAACTTTGTTAAGCATTGTGGCGGAGACCCACAATAGAAACCGTGGCTCTTTATCTAAAGACACGTTGGGGCAAATTCATTACAACTAGATAGAAGCAGGCGAAAAATTAAACCACACAAGACACAAATACAAAAGATGGTGAAGGATAGCCCAAGATTACCACCAAAAGAAATGAATGTTTAAAACAAGAGAAAACCCACTAAAAGCCACTAACAAGCATGGCAAATAATAATAGGGTGGGAGAAGCACGCCTCCCCCCAAGTTACTTTGATTTGCCCTCAGGCACTCCCTAGAAACTTCTCTCCCTCCTCTAGCACTGATACTGTTCTAGATGCATCTCCTCTCCTCTGATGATCTCAAACAATACCTCTGCTCCCTTGGCCCCGGGTACGCCAGACCTCCCGTG